TAGTACCACTGTGGCACCAGCTGATAATGGAGATACTGAGGCACCAGCTAACCATAGTACCACTGTGGCACCAGCTGATAATGGAGATATTGAGGCACCAGCTAACCATAGTACCACTGTGGCACCAGCTGATAATGGAGATACTGAGGCACCAGCTAACCATAGTACCACTGTGGCACCAGCAAATAATGGAAATACTGAGGCAACAGCTACCCGTAGTACCACTGTGGCACCAGCTAATAATGGAAATACTGAGGCACCAGCTAACCATAGTACCACTGTGGCACCAGCAAATAATGGAAATACTGGGGCACCAGCTAACCGTAGTACCACTGTGGCACCAGCTAATAATGGAAATAATGGGGCAACAGCTAACCGTAGTACCACTGTGGCACCAGCTAATAATGGAAATACTGGGGCAACAGCTACCCGTAGTACCACTGTGGCACCAGCTGATAATGGAAAAACTATGGCACCAGTGACCACTGTCCCTGCAAATGCAGTAAGTAATAAAAATAACAAAAATAATAATATTTCAAAAGTAGGAGAGAATGAATGAAATTTAAAAACTGTGACTTTTATTTGATTATTTTTTAATCCCCAATCAGCTGTCCGACTACACCACCGCTTCTTCTGCTTATCCAGTCACAGCCACACAGCCATTCTTGCCAGGTACGGTTATAGCACCAAAGATGTGGGAAGTTTAGATTCAACCTTTTGACTGCACATGCAGATAAACAATAACAAAAAGTCATTGAATACCAGTTAAAGGTGCCTTACTAATATTACATTTTAATATTTTTATCTAATAATATTGAAATCTTGAAATATTTAGTAAAAGTGCTTTTAAAAAATTTTAGGCCTGTTCTGCAACAAAGCTGTAATAATTTGTAGTATTTTGATCTGGCATGAGAGTTGATTTAAGTCCGATAGATAAACAGGGAGAAGGTTAAAGATTAGAGTGATGCGAAAAACAGCTTTTGAACCCTAAACACTTGGAGCTCAGCATCAAAAATAAATACCAGGAGAAACATGAAAAGATTCTGGTCGGCAGGCATTGGAATAATTAGATTGCTACAATTCCAGAAAAACTATTTCATGAGTTACTGAGAGAGATTCAAGCAACAGTTTACATCTCTCTTTTTTTTTTTTTTACAAATAAAGTTTTTTTTTTCTCAACTAAAACTTTATTCTTTTATCTTCTAAAAGATCCCAAAGGGAATGAGACTATCTAATTGGGAGATATGGTGTGAAATTTTTCAGAGTTTGATAAGTTTTTTGATTAGATATATATTTAGTGAAACATTGTTTTGTTTTTTTTGTTTTTAAATCTATATCTATGATTAAATCTTACTTTTTTTTTAGATCTCTTTTTTAAGAGTAATTCAATTTTCTTTCTTCTAAATGAATTGTATTTTATAGGGAGCCATAAGTTTTTCCATTTGACTGGAATCATGCAAGCACAATGGGCACAAGCGTCACACCCCTCAAAAACAATTTGTTTCCAAGTTCCCAAGATTTTTATTAAATGTTCACCTGATCTGCAGTTTCTTGATTTAAAAACAAATAAAAAAAATCAAGTTTATTAATATTTAAAATTGCCTTATCTTTCTTTCTCTTCTCTCTTACAGCTCTGCTTGTCACCATGTGCATGCTGGCTTTTCCTCCAGTGTAATTAACTGACTCCCACTACGCCTAAAACAGGTGGAACTTCCCAAATGATGCCCATCGCTTTCTAAATTCAGTAATTTAAACTCAACATTTATCATGCACAGATTTTAGTTTAGCAGAAACTATAAAGTGCTATTTAAGTTTCTTTTTCAATGCCAGTTAACAAATTTGCAACCATATGTGACTGTTATACTGAGATGGGAATGTCAAATGCTTTGATTTAGTAGTACTCAATATTTCTTCTGCTTTGACTATTTGAGCTGCTGTAACCAGTACATTTCTCCACTATGAGATCAATAAAGTCAATAAATAAACAAGTTTTTTCACAAAACTGTTAGAGTTGTTCTCTGACATAGATGAAATGCAAAATGTGTTTTAATGTGACAGAAATCTTCTTCGAAAGTTGCAATTTAAGAAAGCGTAAAGCATTCCGGTTTCAAGGTCTGGCTACCTTTACTGTTTCATCTGTGCATTTTTTTTCATGTGAATTTTGAAATCTTAAAAAAAATGATCTTTTATCTAAATTTTTTTCTTTTAACATTATCTTCCTGTAGTCTTAGTTGCGATGTGTGTTCATACTTTATCTATCACTAAATGATTAAGTCTCTACTGGCTGATGTGTTAGTGAAAGAGAGAAGCAATAATGCTATACAAAACAATGCTGAAGGTCATTTAATATCTGCAGGAATTCAAATAATGATGTTTTGTTTTTAATAGAAGGTTGTATCTCTATTTATTTGTGTAGCAGTTGAATAAAACTGTATTCCTGAAGGATGCAATTGATCAAGTCTTTTTATTTAGTTTTTACAGCTGAATTTTCTTTACATCTTTTGCCCTTCTGTTCTATTAATTTAACATGATACCTGGGACCACTGAACATATTCAAAACCGGCTAGATTGATCAGATGCTGGTTGCTTGATGCTTGTTAGAAAGACTTCCTGTAATGTCTAAAAAGAATCTTGAGATCCAATCGTTCAACTGAATGAGGACTAAGTGTTACTACAGACTAGGAATATTGAGTTCAGAGGAGTCTATTTCCTAAGAGATGAGAGAAAAGATGGTAGAATTTTTTGTTTTGAACATTTCCAGAATGTCCCCCATGGAAACAAAAATCAGCCGAAGGAAATATTGAGTAAAGATTGATTCTGGGTTTTCATAAAAGGACCTGAAAAACACACCTTTTTCAAGGTTGTGCAAATGTCTGCCTATTTTACGCAATTTCTGGACTGGCCACTTCAAGTTTTGCAAGAAATAATAACTAAAATGGTGACTTTGACACATGGTCACTAAGTTGGCAGAGTCAGGGCCAATCCCAATAAGTGGGCTTTGAACATCCTCCCTAACCCATCAATCACTACATAGAGTAGTTACAATATAGTAGACTTTATAGTGAACTTAGTTAACTGACCGGATGGACAGATGATCACTATTTTTCGCTCTTGCAAAGATTTCTGGGATATATCTGCTTGTCTAGTGACCATGGATGCACACTGCTGTTAAAGGTGCATTGTGGGAAATTTTGAGTCTACCACTTTTTCATCCACTTGACATTTGGACACTCATAAAATGGTGTAACCTCTATTTATTGCTTTATATAGGGGTTAGGGTGGACGTTTGGACACAGCCCTGTGCTCCTGTTCTTGGGCATTCCAGCTGAGGGTACAAGCGCGTAGTAGGTTTCAATTCTCCAGAGCATTCTTTGTCCCCACCCCATGCATCCTTGATAAACATTTAAGCTCATCTGACTTGCGGTGAAGTGTATTGTCCCAAACTATTGCTGCATATGGTCTTTTAAGTAAGCAAATATTTTTTGAATGTTAATGGTAATTTTTATAATATTCATCTAACTTAAATTAAGCATAACCTTAGATGTACTGAAATAACAATACTATAAAATATGCAAAGTAATAACTCAAACCTTACATTTAGTTGATCAAGATCTCTCTGTTTAAATTCATCACATTTTCCTAACCTTCCAAAATAAAATATAAATATTAAAAAAAAACATACTTGATAATAAATGTATGGTTTAATCAATTAGTATGATTTATTCTGTTAAATATCATGAATAAGAACCTTGTAGAGAAAAATTATCACAGAGACCTTCATAATATTCACTTTCAATTCACTGAGGGGACAATTTCTCTAACAGTTAAAGAAAGCCAATTTTAAATACAAAGGCAAGGCAAATTTATTTGTATAGCACAATTCAGTACAAAGACAATGCAAAGTGCTTTACATGATTAAAATATAGAAAATAAAACAGAATCAAAGCAAGTAGGAGAAAAAAAATTAAATAAAAAATGCAGAAACAAAAAAAGAATATTAAAAACAGTTGGAATAAAGAAAAAAAAAGTTGAACTAATGATGTTTCAGTTGAACTGTTTAACTAGAACAGTCGAAGGCAATCCTAAACAAATGTGTTTTTAGTCTGATTTAAAGGAACTCAGGCTTTCTGCACTTTTACAGTTTTCTGGAAGTTTGTTCCAGATAAGTGGAACATAGGAACTAAATGCTGCTTCTCCATGTTTAGTTCTGGTTTTAGGTATGCAAAGCAGGCTGGAGCCAGAAGACCTGAGTGGTCTGGAGGGTTGATACACTGATAGCAAGTCTGTGATGTATTTAGGTGCTAAGCCATTCAGGGATTTATAGACTAACAGGAGTATTTTAAAGTCTATTCTCTGAGATATAGGGAGCCAGTATAACAACTTTAGAACTGGGGTGATGTGGTCTACTTTCTTAGTCTTAGTGAGACAGCTGCAGCTGTCTGATGCACTTTTTAGGCAGATCTGTGAAAACACTGTTGCAGTAATCAATTCAACTAAAAATAAACGCATGGATTAGTTTTTCCAGATCATGCTGAGACATTAGTCTCAAACCAAGCTTTCATATGTTGGTAACACATTTTAAAGAAGAGATTTAAAATTGAAGTAGATGAATTATGTTAAAACAAACATGAAAGAAATTTATGTTATCCCTGTTACTATCTTCTATAATATTCTGGTTTTTAATTATATAATTGGTCATTCACATTTTGAAATAGCACAAATAATTTACATTGTCAATCAGACATTAAGTCCTGTAAATGGAAAAGTCACACCCTAAAAACATATTCTCAATACTTTTAAGATAATTCTCCTCTATCAAAACAATAAAAGCATAAATAATGAAAATATGGTATGAAATTTCTGACTACTTTATTTTTTCTAAAATACCATTATTTACATTTTCACTCTCCTAGCATTTTTAACCAGTTAGACTTGCCATAGATGGTCTTTTATATTCTAGGGTTTATTTTTGTTTTCTCTCCTCACTTCATATATGTCTGTTACCTGGCTGTGGTGCTGTGTTAGAAGGGCCGGAGGCTGATTAGGGGCTTTGGGGGAGTAACACCCTGGCTGACTTTTTGAATAAACTGAAAAGCATGTAGAATATCGCCATTTTTCTGTTCCCTAATGCTAATGATCAAGATATAAAAAGGCGTAAGATAGAAGGTGAGGTTCTTCCTCTTTAATTTTTTGCTTATATCAATAATTATAAGTATGACTGCAAAATTTTGTGTTGATGCTTAATCTTTTTCTTTCTTTGTGTACACCATCTGAGAAAAATCCCTTCTCAGATTGAACTGGGGAGATCAAATGAGGATTGGACATTCCCCGTGAAGGGAAGTAATGTATATTAGTTTAGCAACTTATAATATCTGCCAGTAGCTAGGTTTGTTAAATTTAAAATATCAGTAATGATGAACTCAATATAGAGGTGAAAGTTGGAGATAATTTTGATGGGGATAACAATAATTAACGGCTAAAACATTTTTCATATTATAATATAGAATTGATTTATTAGCTAAAGTGTGGTCAATTTGCATTAGCATAACATAACAGAGGAAATAACTTGAAAATGCATTATTGCTAAGGAAATATGTGCAGATAGGGTATCACAGCTGTCTTAATTGGTAATAATAAACTACAGTTTAGAAACAATAAAAACGACTTTTGGAGAGGTGTTCTGAAGTAATAGTGTCATCCTCTGAGGTGGACAACTTTGATAAATCATACTTTGCCCATGAACTGCAAACTTTAATGATAACCTAAAAGTTAATGGATTAGTTATGTCTATAACATCTCAATATAGGGGGCATGGAATCTAAAACGTCACAAATCTAAAACAACAGCTTCAAGTGGATGAAAAACAAATATCACAAAAACTATAATTATTAGAAATCATGGGAAGGGCTTGGCACACAAGATGGACGCCTCAGTTTATTACATCTGCAGCTGTAATCAATTCCAATCATTCAATGAAACTAAAGACCGAATATATGAACTCATAAGATAAAACAACTTGGGTATAAATAGGTTCAATGAACATTTTGAAACTGGTGGGGATGGCTGAGCACTTGCTGGATTGGCGAGGGCTCCTAACAGCAAACTTTTGATTTGTTTTGGGGATGTTAAAGCAGTTGTTAATTCTTTTTTTTTTATTGGACCACCTATTATGAAGTATATTTTCAATTGCTTTACCTGGATGCTTTGCAACAGATGAGATGGAATCGATTCTAAGATTTACAGAAATGCGGACTCCTAAACTTTGTGAACAGAGAATTCGTACTACAGTTCTGTGCTCTGAAGGAAGAACACTTAATGATGACAAACTACTTGAAGGGAAAATCCAATTTTTCAGGACTCTGCTCCATTCTGCCTCTGGGTTATGACACCGATGCTACACAGGAAGACTTATCAATCAATGAGTTGTGGTGACCCAAAAACTCTTATGATTCAAGCTGCTTGTGGTAACAGATGAATTGGCGGATTGCTCGAACAATGAACTTATCCTAAAACTGACATTAAACCCATTTCACCTGTTTGAGAGGACCAGTGCTTAAGAAGTGACCTTCTTTTCCAGGACAGGAGTGGGTCCTGACCACATACACGTTCAAACACATAGATACATTCACACAGAGATCCAGATGCACCCCAATTAACACACAAATTTACACACACATATAGTGAAAAACATGTGACATACACAAAGGTCCATAGGAGGTATAGGTTTAATACACTGGCATTTATGCTAGAAGGGGCTACTAGGGAATATAGTGTTATTTCTATGACACTGAAAAAAAAATGCAATTAAAATACAATTATAATTATAACTTCAGACAATATTATTCTCAATTTGCTGTGACAAGCTGTAGAGTTCAGAATACAAATAGTTTGAAACTACTCTTTAATTATCAGTGAGTCAAATGATAAAGTGTATAAAACAGATTAAATATCTCTCAGTATCTACACATTTCTTTAGAGTTTCAATGTAGACCATAGAACCTCTATTACCCCATATTAAATGCAACAATATTGAGCTTAGGCAGAAAATAATAAGCAAAAACATCCTTAGGCTGTGCAGGATAGATACCTTTCAACTGACAGGCATTGAAGTGTAAGATATGTTTGATGTCTGCTGCTGATACACACTGGAATGTTCTGCTGAATATAGATTCAGACTTGATATAGCATACCTTGATACAGAATGACTTAGGACCTGATTTGCATCAAAAGTCCTTAACCTAGACTATATTAGAAAATAGGTTTAGATTGCCCAGTCTATTGTAAGTAGTTTGCTTAAGTGGAAATGTTTGAAATTAAACTGTCACAGTCAGGTTGAAGGTTTGACAGGACCCAAATGCAGAGAAAAGTTTGAGGTGGTTACTTGAATATTTTAATGAAAAAAGTTTAACAAAAGCAAAAATACAA